TTTGTCAGTGTGTAGTGACTGATCTGCAGAAAGCTGCACACTACACGCCTCAGGTGTGATGCTACCTCTCTGATAATAATCGCATTAACAGCTCACTGTGGACTATTTAGCAGTGAGGACATTCCCCGCCTGCAGGTGCTGCACAGGTGCTGCACAGGTGGTGTCCTGTCAATATGAGCCAGCAGCTACAGGCTCGACTTCATGCACCTGTGGCCATGAAGGGATTGGCACACCTGGATTTTGACAATGTAAACAGATGCACGGCTGTAATCATCAGGGTGAGATAATTATCATTAGGAGACCATATGACAGGTAGTCATCCCAGTGTTACCAGTGTTGCTTGGTTACATTTTGGCAGTTAAGTCTGGTTTGATGAGGATCAAACTACTGTGACACTCAAACAAACATCCTGTTAGAGTCAAGCTTCTTCCTGAGGTCTTTGCTCCTGTTGTCCACTGACGTCTGCCATGTTCGGGCTTCATAATAATAAATCTCACTTCTTATGTTATCTTATTTCAAAGCTCTGTTCTTGGAGCTACGGAGGCGTATCCTGTCAGACAGTGTTGGGGGATGACTGCTGTCCATTTGCACAAACTGGCACGACTACTTCCTGCTTCACAGCCACACACAGGTGTGTGAGCACTTACCTCTACGGTCATGGGGATGTTCTGCTTGCGGACATTGTGGTTATGCTGGTCGGTGTTCAACATGATGACGGCGTAGGCCAGGGCGAAGCCGGCGTCGTTGCTCATGAAAGGAAAGCCGTTGACTTTCTACAACACAGAGCACGGACAAACATCACACAACGAACAGAGGCTGCTGTGCCACACTTGACCTCTGAGCTGATAGCACACTGACCCCACAGTGGAAAACCCATTCACAGTCACTGCCTGAATGAATCACCGTCTCTTTAAAGCTCCTGTGTGCGGCCTAAAAAAAAGGACATTACTAGGAATAGTTTCCAGGTCACACGGCTCCTCCTGCTATTTCGAGGCGTCACATGTTCCCCTGTGGAGTTTGTCCTCTGCTGTCACACTCTATATGTGACACTTGTGTCATCCCACTGCTATAATCTAAACACTCTGCAGGGTCGACCACAACACTGAGGGCCGCAACCCTCTGATGAACACGCTGTGAAACATGTGACTGTGTTTGTTTCCAGGTATGTTGGAGCGAGTAGAAGTATGACACTATAAATGCACTATCAGGGTCTATTAGGGGACACAGATAATTACATGATCCAAGTCTTCCCAGTGGTCACATTATTGGCCAAAGAACAATAGAATAAAAGAGTATATGATATGACATATATTATCAGTCTTCTGTCTGAGGCCACTGCGAGCTGTCCAGCTGCATGCCTGCGTTTGCCCTGTGACAGCTGGCAGAGGCTCATAGGCTGCCTCTGTCTGCAGCAGCGTGCTGACACTTAACAGCTCAGTTCCTGGAAGACCGTTGTAGGAACCCCCCATAGCTGCTGAAGACACATGCACCATCCTTCCAGTGACTGAAGCACACTGTTCAGGCTGTGATGGGCACAGCAAACTACACAGCATCCATCTATCAGGCGGAGCATCCTGAGGCAAGATGTGCCCAAAACACTCAAACTGGGGGCATCCCAGTCAGATGAGCGACTCTACACTGGACCTTTCAGAACAACCGAGGAGAGCCGAGACGTGACAGAGGAAGATGACACCTATGAAGCGCCTTGAGGCGACTGTTGTTGTGATTATATATATAAATAAAACTGAACTGTGATCTCATCTTTCAGTCAGTCTCCACAGGCTGAGGCCACATGTGCAGGAACACACACTGACCACAGATCAACAGCTTCGCTTTCAGGC